GGGAGCTGAGGAGAGAGGCAGCACGAAGGGGCAGGGGTTAAATGCTTCCCCAGAATTTGACCTTTCCACTGGCGTGAACTCAGTGAAAAAAAGCCCCCCCAAGTCCCTCCTGACTGACAGCCCAAGGGCCTACTGTGAGCATGATTGAGCAGAGACAGCTAAACTATTTCCCAAGAAAGCCCAGCTTCTAAATCAGCTCAATATGCAAGAATGATGTTTACAAATGTGTGAAAGCTCTAATGATGAGAGACTGAGACTTCTGCATGAACCTTGAAAACATGCAGCATTAGTCTTTCCCTGGCACTGACTGACAGGGGGAGAAAAAGAGAGAGAAAGACGTGAGACAGAAAAAGGAAAACCTGTCTCGACAAACAAACAGCCCACAGATGTTGCTCCTCTCTGACACGACTGGTCTCCCTAGCAACCCTGCTGGCCAGTAATAGCTTCTAGCTTGCCTGGCTGCAGCAGCGTCATGCAGACGCACACACAAATAGGCGCATTTCAGCCTCTGAATGGGATCCCAAAGGGTATTTTTAGAGACATGGGGACTCACTAGCCCACCCAACCCTCCCAGCCCTGAGGCAATACCAGAGAACACATCTCTAAACACAGACCATCTACCCCTATCATTAAAAGCCCCAGCCACACACATAAGCACAGTCATAAAAAACAGATCCACAGAGTCCCTCGATTCTAGTAAACAAGCCCTTTAACTGGTGATCGGAGATAACTGGGAATTACAAATTGAAGGCAACTTGTCCTGTCGACGCTTTCTTGGGTACATTGAAAAAGCTCTCCCTGAACTACCCGCTTTATATTACAATAAAAACTAATAATAAAATGTATTTTCATTTTCTGCAGAAATACACTGGAGCTTCTTCTAAACATTACCAGCCTGTTCACTGAGTGTTTTTCTTGAAAAATTCTTATAAGTGAGTGCTGGTATTCATACCAGTCACTTCCCACATTCAGATTCAACAGGTGGTGAATGCAAATTGGATTTTTACTGATTATTACAACAGAAAAAAAAATGTTGCAACACCTGCCTCAGTGGGTGAAAGAAAATTACTCCTTGCTTGTCCTATACTTGCACCATCAGTGCATAACAAAGCTTAGTTTATTCTGCCACCCCAACTGAAGACATATTTTTAATTAAGATAAGATAAGATAACTCTTTATTATCATTGCACAGTCATACATAGTACAATAGTACAATGAAATTGGAAAACTGTCGGCACTACATATAACACAACACGACCCGATACGACACATTACAACGCAACACAAACAACACAACACAGTATAATAACTTAGTAATAAAAAAGAAGAATAAGTGTATTTGTATTGCACACTGTTATTATTGCACATTAATTGTTATTGCACCTTATAAATATAAATATTATTATTGTTACTGTTTTTACCGTTGTTACCTCCCCCCCCAAAAAGTTCAGGGAGGTAGCCAGTCAGGTCAGCTATTTGCATCGATCAGGGCTATTGCCCTGTTGTAAAAGCTGTCCTTGAGTCTATTTGTTCGGGACCTCAGCAGCCTGAACCTCCTGCCAAACAGCAGCAGCTTAAACACCCGGTGTCCCGGGTGTGTACAGTCCCGTAGGATGCTGCGTGCCCTCTTGAGATAGTGAGTGCTGTATAGGTCCTTCAGGGAGGAAAGAGGATGTCCAATGATTTTTTGGGCCATATTGATGACCCTCTGGAGAGCTCTTCTGTGTGCTGTGGTGCAGCTGGAGAACCACACACAATGCAATATGTCAGCACACTTTCAATGGAGCAGCGGTAGAAGACGGTCAGCAGCTCCTTCTTCAGGTCCATTTTTCTGAGGATTCTCCGAAAGTGGAGACGCTGTTGGGCCTTCTTTAAAAACCGCAGAGGTGTTAGAGCTCCATTGGAGGTCTGTGTCTATGTGCACACCCAGAAACTTGAAAGTGGAGACCCTCTCCACACACTCGCCATTGATGCTGACAGGCAGCAGCTCGGACTTCCTCCTTCTGAAGTCAACTACCCGTTCTTTTGTCTTGGTGGTATTGAGATCCAGGTTGTTATTTACACACCAATCTGACAGCCTCTGAACTTCAGCTCTGTACACTGTCTCATCTCCCCCAGAGATGAGCCCCACCACGGTGGTATCATCTGCAAACTTGATGACTGCGTTGTCTGGGTGGGTACTAACACCGTCATTATCTTTATTTAAAAGACTGTAATTATGTTTTCACCGTAATTAAACATATATCGATGTAATACACTCTAATCTATGCACTTATAATGATTTAAAGCTGTAAGGATAAGATTTCACCCTAAGTTTTAGGGGCATTGAGCAGCCACAGTGCAGCACCCACTCAAGCAACAGAAGGTATAACAATTAACCAGTTGATATTTTGTTAGCACAGCTGGTAACTTCACCTTGCAGGGAAATTGTTCAAATGGACACAAATAGTATAATTGAGTAAAATTGGTATTTGCAAAAAAATACTCTGTTTTATAATTAATTTTTAAAAATTATCTGAAAATGTGGAGCCATTTTCAATATACCCATCAACAAAGGCAAAAATAATAATAATTCAGATAAACTAAACTTGTCCTTTTTTATGTTAGTCAAAGATGTATAATTTTTAAACTATGTGGAAGTCAACATTGTAACTCTGGAGTTTCTTTTTTTAAGTGGGTCTGGGGCATGGTAGTACAAGTAATGGTCAGTGGTTCAACCCTGAGCTGAAATGTTCTTAGGCAAGATACTGAACTCCAGATACCCCCTGATGCATTCAGTGGGTTTTCATTTGTGCAAAACAAAACAAAAAGTGTCTGTGGGTGCAGTGTTAGATGTGCTTGGGGTGTTAGGTGAGGGCAAAAAATAGTATTGTTAGATTATTTATACGGGTTGGCCAATACAATAAATAGCAGTTAGTCAATGGAGCAAAAAGGTTCTCGGTCTAAACTTGTCCAAAGACACGTTTGTCAGGTTAACTGGCGATTCTAAAATGACTGCTGGTGTATGGTAACAGTAAATTACTGTCTCACTGTGTTAGCCTGTGAAAAATATTGATGACAGGATCTGACAGCGTGAGAGAGATGAGCTAACGGTAAAGGAGCTAAATGAAATTCATCAAACGACTATAAATGATCACAGGATGAATGTTAAACATCCGAGTCCGAGTTTTACTTGAAACAAAGAAGCTCTGAAGATGTTTTAAGTTATAAATTTCACTCACTTCTTGTCAAAAGGATTAAAAAGAGAGTAAAACCTCTGAAATGTATCCAGTGGTTGAAATTATGTTTTCCTGGATGGAAATGATGGTAAACTGAAAATTTCGAAAGTTGGATTTCTCACAATAATGCCTAGACAAAGACAAAAAAAGCAAATGTTGGTGTTTTTATCCACTTTTGAAAGATTGTTTCAGTTTGCTGCTGCACTGTGTTGTTTTTTCTTTGGTGTACACGCCAAATACAAAATTACCAAGTGTATGTCTCTTTGATCTGTGACACTTTAAAATCTGTTAAACTTTTTAGCAGAACTGTGTGAAATATCACTTAATAACTTGATGTTTTTCCCTATTCCGGCACATAATTTCCTCACGTTTCATTGACTGAGTCATTATTCACACAGATTTCTGGCTCAGTTAACTCACAACATTAAGTCTTGTCTGTTAGGCTAATCCTGCACTGTCTAACACACTTTGCTGAATTGAAAAGACAAATGACTACTAACTGTACTCAACATAAGTATGTATACTGTATACCTACCAGGGCTGGGCGATATGACCCAAAATTCATATCTCGATATTTTTTAGCTGGATGGCGATATAAGATATATATCTCGATATTTTTTTTAAGCCATAAAGTAAGAACAAAAAGAGTTCTTAGTCAAAGCTGTGTCCCAGATGTCACACAGGCACTTTTATTAACATACAGCACAGATGTACATGAAAAATTACTCAAAATTAAATTATGAGCATTCATTAAATAATAATGCTCCATAAATAAAAGAAAACAAGGTTGTTTTTGTGCTAAACAAAGAGCTCACAATTGTGCAGTCAAAATGTAAACTAAAAGACGCTGAGCGTAATAACAAAGACAGACAGATTTCACAGCTGCTCTGTTCCCAAGTTTTACTGTGTGACTGATAGCCTGGAGTTTGAAATCCGCTTCATAACCACGTCTCTTACAGGTGCCATTTATGGTCCTTATCCACACACACAATACGGTAATATTACGTTGATGCACAGTACGTATCACTCCGCGAAGCTCCTCGGTAGCCGTAATGCGCCGACAATCTATCAAGCGGTGCAGCTCCGTAGCTTACCAAAGTCGTACTCAAACATTTTTGACAGATTGCTGAGCGCCGTGTACCACATAAAATCGGTTCGTGGCCACCAAGCACAACCAGAATTCATACATAAGGCGCGCTATCAACTTTTGAGAGAATGAAAGGATTTTAGGGTTAGCGCTGTTAGCTCGTTAGCGCGGTTAGCTCGTTAGCATGTTTAGCTCGTTAGCACGTTGACGCCGTCCAGCCCCACGCATGGGGCGATGCGCAGTAACTCGTTAACGGAGATTTGCCGTGTCCGTCTTGTCGCTGCCTGCACGTGAAGCGATGGGGTAGGAGGGGAGTTGTCTTCAGTGAAGGCGAGGCGGAGTAACGTTGCGTAGAGACAAAAGTGGACGAAAGAGAGGCAAACTTGCGGCTCCACAACTATAATTATAACGTAACATAGACTATATCGATATAAAGGATATTGTCACATCTTATATCTCGTATAAAAATATATCGATATGTTTTAAAAACTCGATATATCGCCCAGCTCTTATACCTACCATGCTGTCATGTGCCATAAATATGTACATTCTTTACAGAAATGATGCTCTGTTTTGCAAAGGTTAAACCAATTTGTAGTTCAAGCTAGCAAGGGAGCTGATGATTACATAAAGGAATGAAAAACACTGAAAGCCTCTGTATTGTATATGTGGGAGGTGAATCTGAGAGTACTTACCAGGTGACAGACAGGGAGACAGAAAACTGAGGGGAGGGGAAACACTGGAAGATAGCAGTGGACCACTCTAGAAAGAGAGGGGGAAAAGCAAACGGGAGGGGGAGAGAAAAGAAATTTAGTCCAATTTGCAGATACGTGCTAACTTCATTATTCAGCTTCCTCTCATACACTTATAGTCATATTACAGATGATTGTGATGCCTTTAGGAAAGACACTGACAAAAGACAAAAAAAAAAAAAGATGTACACGAGCATGTTCCTGTTCACACATACACAACGCACACACTGGGGTGTAATCACCAGCTCCCCAGTAATGTTCCTCATCCTATTTGGCAAGTGCAGAATTTTAATCATTCCTCTGGCTTCTGCTAAATAAACTTTTAATGGAAGGCGCTTCCCGTAAGAAAGGCTGCCTCTGTCAGAGAGATTGGTGGAAATGAGCTGGCAAATTAGACAAACGGCACCACCTCCACATCTGCTCTGCAGCAGCTTCTGAGAGGCAGGTATGTCAGTGAAAATAAAACAGAGTCTGCTAAAAGCTTAAAACGTAAATGTAAAACACAGATTGGGTCAAAAGGTGCAGACAGAGAGGCAACGCGGATGAGTGAAACAAGAACCAAACTATAGATGGAAAGGAGAAGATAATCCCCCTTTTGGCAAGGCATCTGGTACCTCAGGCCTGAAGACAAGAAAAATTCCTCATCATTTCCTGTACTTAGGAGTGACCGTGATTCTGCTTGTGTCTCTCACATCACCATCACATTGCTAGAACAGGAACAGGCCAGTAATGGTTTCTTTATACAATCACTTTGCAAGATAAACTTTGCCAGATAAGTGTAGACAGCAGAAGCTAGATTTCAACAAGTAAAGTGAGGGAAAGTTGCTGCTCTTAAGGTTGTATTTCCATCTGGGATTATGATTGCTTGTTAATGTGGAGATTTTTGAAAGCCCAATAAGAAATATATTTTGTGACAGGTTCCTCTCGTGAGTTCCAGCTTTAAACATACTGCAGTTGTTGTCCAAATTAATTAGAGAAACTAACACAATGTCAATATATGGACTGTTTTTATATTTGGATACAGGTCCTTTGCAGTCAATGACTGCCTGAAGTCTAGAACCAGTAGACATGTCAAAATGCTGCATTTCCTCCTTTAAGATTATGAGGCTTTACGGCAGCCACCCTCAGTTGCTGCTTGTCTGCTTTCAGTTTGCATACAATAACTGAAAAGATGCTGAGCCAAGACGAGGTGACTGGCATGGCCACTGAAGAATATTTTATTTATTTAAACTCTTGAGCAGTATGCTTTGGGTCATTATCTATCTATCTGTGAAGCGCTGTCTGATTAATTTTGCAGCATTTGGCTGAATCTGAGGAGAGAGTGTAGCAAGTGTAGTACAATCCATCCTGGTGCTTCACATCATCAATAAACACTAGTGACTTAATGCCACTGGCAGTTATACATATCCATGCCAGTTAATCTTGGTTTCATCTGTCCAAACCGTGCCCTATAATCCGACCTTCCTGTTTTCAAGTATAACCAGTGGTTTGAACCTTATGAACCTGCTGTATTTACATTGTACATGCTTTGTATTTACATAAAGGTATCTCTTGATTGTAGACTTTGACAGGGATACGCCTACATCCTTGAAAGTGTTGACTTGGTTAGATGTTGTAAAGTTGTTTCTCTCAACAATGAAACTGTCGTCACACACTCGAGTTGTCTTCTGTGGTTTTTCAGGTCTTTTGGTGCTGCTGAGCTGCTCGGTGCGTTCATTCTTTTTGCACCACACCTAATGTTTTTGCGACTTCTCCCATAGGTTTGCTTGTTTGGTTTGCACTGACGTCTCTCAGCACCCTGTTTTTAACATTATAGTAAAAAACTATAACTTCAGATATTATGCCCGCATCATTTGTCATGAAATAATGAGGGAACAGGCTTGACTTGGCCACGAAACTGCTCGTCAATCCAACTTCTGATTAATTCCTAACTTGTTAATTAAAAATGTTTGTAAACAAAAACAAACAAAAAAAAAATGACCAAAAAAAACAACATTAAAGCTGAAATGCTGCACTTGAGTCAAGTACTTGGAAGTACAAGTGCAAAAATTGTGTTTTGTGCAACTAATTATTGACCTCACTCTACATATATACAACATTTTTACTACCAAAAAAAATCACCTCCAAAAAATCCCAGCATCAGTTGGGCCTTGCAAAAAAGCAGGCCCATGTAATGAAGTTAATACAGAGCTTGGTATTGATCTGGCACCATCTATTTTGAGTCATCTGCCTCCGATCCCTCTCTCCCCCTCTTCATGTAGATAAGCTGCAACTGTGGGAGAGGCCTATGTAGATCAAATATTCCACATGTCAAGTGGACTCACTGGACAAGAGCTGTTCACAGGCCTCTTCAGCCAGGGTAGAGCATCAGCAGATACACTGTGTATCAAAAAAGCCATGACACATGTACAGACACCAATATTCATGTTCTGCTAAGTAATTTAGTAAGAGCCCTATAAAGAGAACAGGTTAACAATACTTGGGTCCTGCTTTTTCACCAGGCCTCTTTTATCCATCGACGTAAGAATGAATCGACATAGGAAACCTGTAAAATACTACTGCTGCTGTTACTAGGGATAATAATAAGTAGAAGAAAATAAGTGATGATGCTGCTAAGTGGACACAGATATTTTACACTTTAGCAGACAAAGCTAACAAACTGGAACTCAATTGTGCTACCATGGAAACTCCAACCAGCAGCACAGCTAAAAGAGTTCAGTCATGAATACACAATATCAAACAAAAAAAAATAGATGTTTCTTGCTACATCTCTTCTTTCTGTGCATCTGTGCGGACACACACATGCACACACGAGTATATTTTTAGTAGGTGCTATTCTAAGTAACATCCAGCCATGCGGTAATCATTCCTTTGATTAAAGCAACAGGTAAGAAGCTGCTAATCTCTCCCCTGCCTGTCACAGGATTTAATTGGTATAAACAGTAACAGCTGTGCCGACCATCACTCAACAAATGACGGCTTTACAGGGGAAGCACACAGGGGTGCTGATTAAAACAACAACACTGCCAACCGCACACACTCCCGCAGGTATCACAGGATGGGATCTGGCCGGGGAAATGACATTATCCGTGTTACCTGAAATAGCCTAATCTGAAAATAATACGCCATTATCTACACATACAAGCTTACACCAAAATGCCTCACATAAACTGGTCTGGAGGTGAAGAGAATGACAGTTCAAGTACTAACGACATATGTCCCCGCCTCAGGAAATCGACCCAACCCAAAGGCTGACGCGCAGCTCTCTGTGGGACACGCTGTTGACGGCTTTGCTGCCATGAGCAGCACCTGTCAGGGCACTGAGATGATAATTCTCATTTGGCCCCCGATTGCAACTATGTTGAGAGTGACTCTGAAGGGACATTAAATAACATCAGCTCTCAAAACGACCAAAGGAGGACTCCGAGAAATCCCTCCCCCCGTGTTTGTGTGCAGCTGTGTCATGCAGGATAGTTTGTTTTCTCAGAGGACTAAAGTAGGAAAACCAGACTGAAGACTGGGGGATAGAAAGCTTGACAAACATTAACACTAAAGTTACACTTCACCTTTCATACATCACCATTTCATTATAATAGCTCACACCAGTCTACTGTCTGTAATGCAGTTTGGAAGGTGCCATCAGGAGCTAGTTGGCTGATATCTCCTACATTTACAAATTTATGCATTTCACAGAAATTTTTTGCAAACAAATCAAAGCATAAAAATTACATTTTTCAGTTTTATGGGGATTATGTCTTTATGTCAATGTAAGGTTTCCAGTTGAGGCTCCTGGAAGTTACTAAATCCCCCGTTTCCAGTTTCTGAAAATAACATGACTTAATGTTACAGACATGAGTCTGCTAGGACTAGAAACTTGTCACCATGGCATTAAGACTTTTGTTGTGTCTAGAATCCCATTTCTCTGGACTTAGACTTTCTATGATGTGCATAAATTTAGCTACATGAAGTACACTAAAAGTATCTAGATGGTGTATTCATAACTATCAAGATGTAGAGTGTGAAATAAACTAAAATACCAACAAACTCCAATGGCTTTATTCACATGGCACGGTGAGCATGTTTTGGTATGCAGGCCTTCATCTATCAACACACCGAATCTTTTCTATTGGTGTTCCACTAATTGGGGCCTTCCAAATATGGTGTTCATCCAAACCTAGGGTGAAAGTGGAAAATTCCAACAGTAAAATTCCACCAACAGGAGTAGTCTTCAATAACCTGGACACATCCAGAAGCCCAAAAAGATACCAATAAACATTCATCAAATTCAATCCAAATCATACAAAAAAAAGACCACACAGCTGCACTGACCACAAATAACATAAATGCATCAATAAAGTTTATAACAAAGAAGTTATTTTTTTAAGCCAGGATATTTACTAGCCTGTTTTTATAAATCCAATAAAGTTTTTTTTTTTTTAAGAACTCCTTTGTCTATTACTTCTTGTATTGTATTGTAGGTTGAAGGGTTACTGTTATGAAAGTCCAGGTAGTGAATAGCCACAGGCTAGTTAAATGTTACCGCTGCATGTCACTGCTGCTAGCAGACAAAACAAAACTACCCGTTGAAAGTAACACTCTACCCAAAGAAGTACCTGTTGTACGAATGGAAGTATTCAAATTAAGTAATAATGTTTGTGTCTTATCTTTGGTGGTGACTCTAAACCCCAGAACATAGCTTTTTTCACCTTTTACATGCTCTGCAGCTGCTGAAGGAGTCCACAACAACTTTTAAGTAGGACCTTTATGTATGCAGTACCTATTAAGAATCAGTTTCACTAACTGTGGTTAATTAGCAACATTAGTAACGTTTATGAAAGACGAACATTTAAAAATCAAGATCCGAAATCATGAACCTCTGAACGATTCAGACATGTGGAGCTCTTCTGATTGTTTCTTGCCACAGCAACAAAAACAAAGGGAAAAAACAAACCAAAACACTTCTATATGTTCGTAAACTGTATCCACAATCACTCAATACAAATATTTTGA